CGCCGGACAGAGACTGAGACGGTGCCGCTGCATGTCGTGCCAAACCTCTCACGGCAGGCACGGCATTAGCTTGAGATCGTTTTTTTGAGATCGGCCTTTTTAGAGACCGCCGATCAATCATCCCAAAGCGATTATCGGCCGATAGTGATTGGTAGCCGATCAATCGGAGCACCCCTAGTGCTTTCTAAGCTATATATATTCCATTCAGAATTTGTATAAAAACTTTGGTTTCATGCTTAGAGGACCAAAGGCCAAGAACACGCTCAGTGGTTTGATTCTGGAACCGGGCCTGACGTAGATACATGTATTTACAGCTGGATAATGAAAGGTGTGTAATCTGGGTCTGTATAGAAGGTGTTTATTGTGTTTGAACTGGTTTTGCACAATTGCTCGAGGATCGTGCTGAGAGTGACGAAGGGCTGTGAAGAAAAGGTTGTGTGAAAAGCCTTTTGGATATGGAGATGTCCTGGCATTTTTTATGCAAATTACTAACCTTGAACACGTGGTCACTCATTTAGAATACTCTCAATTCAGTAATATTAGAACAAGGTTAAGAACATGTTGCGAATTTGGTAGAAGTTATCCAAGCAATTATTAGTGCATGAAACCCACTGTTGTCAAGATAAGCAGTCATTTTGAGAGGTTTCGTAAAACTTACCGATGACGATGAGGGTGTAGTTAATGTTGACGCTACCAAAACCATTGGTGGCTTTACAAATGAAAGTCCCAGCATCCTCTGCCTCCACCTCTTTAATGCGGAGGGTTTGCTGAAGGACCCTGAAGCGCATCCAACCGCTGTGGATGTTTCGACCGTCTTTGGTCCACATGATGAGGGGTGGCGGATCGCCCTCCACAGGACACTGAAGTTTCATGGTACGTCCAATTCTGACGGTCTGTCGGTGAGCTACCTTCTCTGCTACACGTGGAGGACCTACAGAGAACAAGATAATGATAATAATTGTCATTATAGAGCATCTGAAAATACATGAAAACGCTGTTTTTCTACACATTTCTACAATTGTCCTCCTCCCTGTGAAATTACTGGCAAAAATGTTAGCTGATGAAACAAAATGTCGAGTTGAAAAAGTATGGACTGAGCTGTAGCCTTGAGATTGGAAAGTGACCATTAAATCAAAATTGACAATCTCTCCTCATCTTGTCACTCACATGAAATGACCGAGAAAAGAGCAAACAACAACACTTTCTACAATCCAGTCAATTCCTGATGGACAAAATCAAGTGTCGCCCTACTTTCTTTTTGTTTGAGAAGCCATTTCAAAAATAGGAAAAAAAGTCAGCCGCAATACCTGCTCTAAGCTTTTCTGTTCTAAAAAAAATCCTCAATCGTATTCAACAGTTCACTATGCTGGAGTCTTGTATACTGGCTGTTGCACTGAAGTAAAATGAAAGCTTCAGTGCATTCAACTAAGACGAGAGATTAGACAAAGCTTTCAGGAGTCTTGGCCTGGCTGAGCAGAGTGAGGCTTCCCCCTCACGCACAGGCCTGCTTACTCTCGTTAAAAGACCCAATGCAGGAAATTGATAGTGTCACTGTGTTTATGTCTGTGGGGAAATTGTAACCGCAGTCCCCTGTCAGCCAGCCATGTCTTGCTGGCGTACTCTGCTACTGGACTGCACTGTTTGTGTGCACCTCAGTTGGTGGCTCCTCCGAGGTTAGAAAGGTCAGAGTCTGAATAAACTGTCCATGCTCGTTCCTCTCAAAGCTGTGCGAGTCACTCTAATAGCTGTTTACGTAAGGCTAATGCCAGATATTGGATCCATTTAGCTGCCACAAAACCGGGCTTAAGAAGATCTTGTGGTGAAACGTTTGAGAAACAGATTTCCACATGCAGTCATAACGCATGAAGGATATTACGTTTTAGATCTTTTCTCTAAGCCATCACTCGGATAAATGAAGAGGAAGAGTGTTTTATCTCACTGTCAGACGTCAGTCCAACACTTAATCATTTCCAAATCCATCTCAACAAATTAAATCCTCAATCTGATGAAAGAGATCCTCTGAATGACAGTGGATGAGTCTGAAAAAAACATTAGGAAGTCGTCTGAAGCCATATGTCAGGTTAATATGAGGAACAGATCAAAATCAGCGGGTATGGTGTAGACGCGATGTAACTGAAGGTTGTTCGCCACATTAGTAACATATGTGACCATGGACCACAAAACCAGTCATAAGGGTCAATTTTTTGAAATTGAGATTTATTTAAAAAAGCGGAATAAATAAGCTTTCCATAAATAAGCTTTGTTGTTGTTGTTGTTGTTAGGATAGGACAATATTTGTCCGAGATACAACTATTTTCGAATCTGGAATCTGAGGCCGGGTGCAAAAAAAATCAAAATATTGAGAAAATCATCTTTAAAGTTTATGGTAGGAAATTTACAAAATATCTTCAAGGAACATGATCTTTACTTAATATCCTAATGATTTTTGGCATAAAAGAAAAATCGATCATTTTGACCCATACAATGTATTGTTGGCTATTGCTACAAATATACCCCAGCGACTTAACACTGCTTTTGTGGTCCAGGGTCACATATATCATCTATTTTAAAATGTTCTCAAACATGGCAGAGACAATCGTATTCACAATTGGTGTAGACAATTGTATTACTGTTTTAAGTATTTTTTAATTCAACCGTTACAAAAAGTTTTTGTAATGATGCAAGTCGAATTTTTTTGTCATGAATGTTTTTGCTTGCAATTAACATGACTAGTTTACTGAAACATAGGCATTACTACACAGCTATGTAAAATGTAGGCTAACAGGTTTCCTTCTGATATATCTGCTGTAATGACAAAGTTGTGTGTTAGTGTGTTGCACCAGTTAGTGCCATCTCAGTGCTGGTAGCATCTGGTGAAGAACCTTTGCCAAAATAATGTGCGGAAGGAGAGAGAGTCCATAGATTGAAACAAGCAACTAACATAATTAAAATTAAAATAATTAACCTTTCAGGATTCTTGAAGTTTTAAGAACTGATTGTTTTTACTCTTTTCATCAAATTAATTTAAAAGATTTTTCCAATTGTTTGTGATTACTGGATTTTTTTTTTTAAAGGATTATGGGTTTTTTAAATATATATTTTTTACTCAATTTCTACGCAATAAAACATTTTAGAGATTGGCCTAGCTAGAAAATGTATATTCAGTGTATATTAATTTGACATGACTTTTCCAGGCTTAGAAATCAAAGTCGAAAATTTTAAATTAGGCCTCGTCATATATACTGGCTTTTCAAGACAAAACCTGCAAACCCTGTTTTCTCAAAAAACAGTTGAGGTGATTGATTAAAATAATAAATATCTTGTTCTATTTTTATAACTATTTTTTTTATTATTTTATTTTAAAACATTTTAAATCATTTTCAAACATCTTTAGCACAGGATAGGTGGATTGGATAGAAGAGAACTATTCAGGGCAGTATATGCAGTATTTTTCTGCATTCCACCAAAGAATAATTAATTTTTGTAGCTATGTATTTTTATCTTTGATGGTTATTTTTTTATTGTTCGTTAACAGGTTTACAAAAGGTTTTCTTCACAAAAATATTTCAAAGAAAACAGTTCAAGAAGCTGGAAAGTATAAAAACAATGTAATTTAACTCCATAAATTAATGAACACACTTTTGCTGGAAACTATGGCATACTACACAAAACATTACTCCATACTGGTTTTCAACAAACTTTTAAAGGAGCTTTCAAGACTATTTCAGCCAATCTGGTTAACGAGCTAGATGTGATTGCAACAACAACATAGAATACATCACAGAAAATCAAACGTTTAAGGAACTTGTGAGCCATAAAAATGATTCTTAAGCACAATTTTCAGATTTCAGAGCTCTAGCATTGAGAAGATTACCAGTATTACTTGCAATATAGTGTAGAGCCCGACCGATATATAGTTTTGCCGATATTATCGGCCGATATGAGCCTGTCACCGATATATCGGTATCGGCGAATATGCTGCCGATATGACATTTTTTTTACAGAACATAACGCAGATAAAATGCTTGAAATGGTGCAATTACTTAGTTTGCTCCATTGTTTGCTACTGGCGACCTGGATGAAACGCTTTAAAGCTTAAGTCTATGGAAAACTATTGAAACTTTGAACGGCCATATCTCCGTAACGGCGTGGCGAATCCGCAGCAAATTCGGGGGATCCCTTCAGCTCGAGGAACCCTCTCGAACGCAAATCGAGTGTACGTCTAGAGGCCCGCTTTCGAATGAGACCACCCCCGCATCGATAGCCCCCGGGGTTCGGGAGTTACGGGTGTGCACTGATGTCAGACTCATTTCGGATTATAAAGTTTGTTAAATTGTTAAATGCCCTGCCTCCATTATGTGTCTTTGTCACGTCATTATAAGTGTTTGATCACCACATTTGATTGATCATTGCAAAAAATGTGTTTATGTATATATATTCTGTTTATGTATATACTGTATTCTATATATAGTACCAGTC